TAACACGTTGGTGATCGTCCCTTTTCCAGGACGCACGTTTCTGGCTCGCTGAGGTATTTATATTATTTATCGGGTGTTCTTATAATTTTTTCATGTTTTCTTATAGCAGCTGAGCTCACAGCCTTTTAGAGAATCTTGAAGCATTGCGGTCCAGCGATCATTTATTTCTAACTACAGATATAAGAGAAAATAAAGGTTAATGTAAGAACAATATAGAAGCGCGGTCGCCAACGGGTTAATCTGGTCTCAGCTAAAGGTAGATTGCCGTCCTTTTATTGAATATACTATTCTAAGAACCATTCCTTTCCTAGATGATAAGCATCCACTGAGAAAGAAGTGAATGAGGTGCGGACTTTGCTAATTTGTCTGCAAGCCGAGTGAAATCCCTCGAGAAAGGGATGCTTAATCGAATTTTTTTACTCGTCCCCTCAAAACTATTCTGTAATTACTTTGTCCCTCGAGGTGTGTTGCCGACTGGTCTGTCCGACGAATAGCCTCAGAGCTGAAAAACGTCTGGCTTGACCACCAACCAAGCTTCATCTGTGAAACGATGTCTAGACATTATACAACACGACCTCACGTCGCGGACTTCACGTCACATTTACTCGTGGACGAGTTTTTCGGACTACTTTGAATAGGTTTCTCGCAATCTAGTAATTCAGTGTAATCGCTTTGACAGTAAAAAAGAAATGAGAGTGCTGACCATGACAGAAAGACTTGTCTTTTTTCAATGACTAGGCAATTTTTTGCTCGGTCCTTTTTTTCTATTCCGGTGACTTCTGCTCAGAATCATTTGGAGGTTCGTTTCCGTATGCGGCCTATACACGGAGTTTGATTGTTAGCATATACATATGTCGGTGCTTTCATCTTGCCGGACTAGTCCGGTACCAGTTAATCGGCCCCAGAGTATGTAAGACTTGGTTGGCCTGGGCGGGTGTCGATCCGGAACTCGATTCCCGGGCTATGCAAGGGTGAAACTGTAACAGTGTGATCCCTGCCACCACACCACCTCCGCCCGTCTAATCTAGATTCTTGGTATAAATGATTGCTCATCAAGGGGGCCGAGTTCAAGGCGGGCTTCGTATGGCAACATCAGCGTTTCATTTTCTGCCTAGATTACGGGAAGCTTATTTTTTGCCGAGCGGACCTTTATGGATGGGAACTAGCTGTATCCAACAACCAGGGAAACAACATTTGGGGAGTCCAAAAATTTGCTAGAAATGAGAAAAAATTAAGAAATGATAAGTTATTCTATCGCAGATATAATTAATTATATCAAAGAAGGTCTGAATACCATCAACAATGTAGAAATCGCAGCTTTCTTGGGAAGAATTGCGCCTCTTTTGAAAAAAAGCCTCCGTTGTTGGAATGTTCTCCATGACTTCATTAGAATAGTTGATTTTATGTTTGACAATCGCCACTCGTTGTAGAAAAAATAGGTCTCAGCAAGATTCTAACTGAATTCGACCTTTCTCCTAAAGGAGCCATCGCTTAGCGTCAGCTGACAACAGTTCTACTGTTCGTGCTGGTCTTTCTTTTGTTTGTTTAGGGAATGAATCAGGTGAACAGGAGTGGGGGGGGGGGGGGGGGGGGGTAGCTGCCAACTCAGAACTGCCATTTATTGTTACCTTGTCAGCCCTATCACCACCCCTGGCCGTTCGACCCCGAGTTTTGTGGGGTGATAAGCGCCTATCTCCAGACGGAAATGTGTTTTACGACGATACGACGGTCAACTTGAATGACACCTTTACGGAGCATTCTGGTGGTTATCAATAGCAAATACCTTCCTAGCCATATTTCTTTACTGACGCTGCATTTTCCCATTCATATGTGGCATATTTCGCTAGCATTCCACTTGAACGGCTCTTACACCTGAGAACATTCTTCACATTCTTCGATATGACACGAATTCGCAACAAAAAGTCTTTCATTGAAGTAATTCGACCGTTCCCAGCTAGAAAAAGGGATACAAAGCGAGAAAGTAATTTTGAATGCATTTGAAGGCTCTTCGTTGACGTTCCGACAGCGGAACACGATTCAAGTATTCGTCATGATTCGCTCAAGATGAGGCATTGGAACAGCCCTTCTCAGTCCGCTGCATTGTAGCTATTCTAATGTCTCTTAGACTTGAACACATCTCTCTTTGCTAACTCGCTCTTCCCCTCCTCATTTTCCGAAATATCAATAAAGGATAATGCAGTAACCCATTCCCTTTTTTGACGTGTGGGATCATTCCACTTCGTAATCTTTGGACATTTTCCTTCGAGGAGACTGGAGCGATTCTTAGAATCAGATTCTTACCGAACTTCTAGTTTAGCCTCGACCATTACCTTTTATGGAGTGGTTTTCCTTTTAAGGAAAGTTTTCTACGAGCGGCATTGATCAATGTCGATCCCATAGTATTTATCTGAATTATCGATATCGAAGAATCTGTCCGTTTGAAAATATTTTTTACTAGTAGCCGATCACGGTTTACATCAATAAGTAAATACTGCACCGAAAATTGAATTTACACACCGTAGAAGGCTGAAAATTTCATACGCCAAAACCAAATTTACTTGTCCTTGAGCTTGACCCATTGGATTATAGGAGAAATGATCCTTCATGCCTTCAGAGGGAGGTTTGAACTTTCTTTCTGTAGAAGATAGCTTCAAGCGACGAAGGAAGGTGTTTGGGTGGTCCCGAGTATCCATGCGAGGTCTGAGGTCTAGCCCACGATACGAAATTTTCAGAAACTGTACCAATTTCGTCTTTGAGGAGATGATTTCCGTCGGACTATCTTTTTCAAAAAATAAAGAGCAATATTGACTCGAGGTGACTCGAGGTACGATGTTGTGTTCATAGTTAGCGACCATATCGATTGTTCCTGCCTTATTCTGAAACTATCTCAATCAGCAAAAATTTTGCGGTGCAAATTTTTTTCTTGATATTTAGATATATTCTCTGCATATTTGCCCTCACTTTTCTCGATTTTTATCACTGTTTTTCATAGTTTGGACTTTTTATCTCTGAGAAGTGGTAGTTTACTGTAGGTAGCATTATCGCACTCCTTTTTCACAGCTCATACCTCTGATTCACAAGTGTTTTTATTACGGAAGACAGTGAACATCATGATGTCACCTTTGCAATGTAAAGAAATGAGAAGTTTGGGATACTATTTTGGGATAATGGGATTCATTGCGTGTAAAGCCCTACCTACGACTGTTTGCCGTTCTTCGGAGGCACGCTTACTTGTCACTCATGGAGGCCACCAACGATTTGGATCTTAAGTATTGGCCAAGCCACCCCTTGTAGATCAGATCAAAGATTTGCAAGTGTTTTTAGATCTACGACCAATTGATTTACATCTAATTCGATTAGTCGTCATAGACGTTCTTGAAATAACTTTCGAGTAACGTTTTTTCCAATGCTCAGGTCTTTCCTTTACCCCAGTTCTAAGCAGACAAGGTAAGTCCTTCTTCTCGGCCCTATAAAAGTCGGTTCATTCAATCTGTTCTTATTGGTTATGCCCGTTTTTCTTTCTCCCAAAATTAAAACTAGTTTCTACCTCTATGTGTTCGATGACAAATTGTAGATGGGCAATCCAACGATCTGACCCTTCTGATGGTTTTGACGATCTAATCTTCCATTCTTAGTCTGGTTCAAAGTTGAAAATCTCCATACTAATCGTTTTTTTTTCTGCAGAGATTTCCACGCATTTTGTTTCCTTTTCAAAACCGTTCAATTTTTTTAAAATGCTTTATTGTATTTTGCTAATTTATCGTTTATTGGATATAGTCATATATATTTTTTTCACGTGTATTGTCTAAATTTCAAGCCTAGGACTCTTTTAATGGCAATGCCTATCATTAGACAAGTGACCTTATTGCAGGGGATCGAAGCCTCAAGAATGCAATCTATGAATGGAATGTATGAATAGGGAACAGGAAATGTGCCCTTGCTACCCAGTCAGCCCAAAGCGGCGCCTCTAACCGCTATGCTACACATGCCAAAACTTTTTTGCAGTTTTTAGCATCTTGATGCCATTTTCATGCTTCCTAATGAAGAGGAAAAAGTCTTCAAAACATACAGCCATGGAATTCAACGCACTCTCCGCGTGACCGCAACCACGCGGAGAGTGCGCAACGCATAATCGCTAGCAGCCAACAGACTATGAACACGTTTCTCAGCCACCTTTCCTTTTACCTATGTTATCGGTACAAAAAAGCGAGGTAGCTTTGGTGATTTTCTCAGGTATGAGGATATTTTCAGTCTTTTTACAATAGCGAAATTCCCCCTTTTCTTACCCAGCAGGAATACGTAGTTGCACCAAAGACGGGCAAAGGTTACGCCATATCTAATACCCAGTGGAGGCTTTTTAAAAACGCCCTTTCCCATTGATATACATTTTTACTGCAACATTCTTTTCTGACAGCAACCCAGTCAATCCACGTCAGCCGCCCTCGCTCCACTCCTTTTAGCGAATTCTGAAGGGGGTTCAAGCTAAGTGGTGGAAATGGAGTTGAAAACTTTCCTTCTCCCACCTCCCACACATATATTCCTTTTCTGTCCAGGTCCCAGTTATGGACTCGTTTTTTCTCTTTCCTGTACCGGAACTTTATTCCTGAAGCAATGCGTATTTGCAATTTATAATTTCTCTTGTTTTCATGATATTAGAGTACCACTCATTTGAAATTCTCTGATTACCTTTTTCATCGCGCTTCTAGTTTCCTCCTATTAGAATTCTTCAAATTATTCTAGGTAATGAATCCCGGTTAAAGGTTCCTCTTAAATAATAAGGTCTCTCTCTTTCCTGTATTAGAATTTTTGCTCCCCACTATAAGTCGAGGTTTTCGAGTTGGGAGCAGAGATCTGGTACACGGGCATACTTGGGAATATAACTGTAGTGTTTGGATTGTCGTCTTTCTGTTCGGCTTCGCACTCATAAACATCGCGGTCGTTATATTTTTCCATCTTTTCGTTAAGTTCAGTTTATGAACAGAAATGTTTTGCAGCATTGGATGCATGAAGGTCGGCCAGCGACCGTTCGTCTTCTGGATGGCGAGTTTCTGGAAATTTCGGTGATCGCTAGGCTTAGTGTGAACGACGTGCTTACACTCGCTGCACACCACTGCCGTATCACGCAGCCGGACACGCGGTTTTTCGGTCTTGCATACGTCGACAGCAAGTGAGTACAGCAATATTTTGATTCCATTCACACTCAGCAAATGTTGTAGTACCTAGAAATTATGTCATAGAACTCGGCAATACTACTTGAATGAACTGGGAAGGAAGGGTACACAAAAGGCAACTCAAAAAATATATTTCTCGGGAGAAGCTAGACAGGTTGACTATATCACTTGCAAAATCATAATTCTCAACAATACTTGTCTGGGAGTTAAGCGGCGTGGACGAGTTACCTCAGAAAAACGTGCTCGAATGATAAAATCGCGGCATCTGGTCGCCTTGTATGGCTCCCTTTGAAGACGCTGTGTTCCGCTTTTTCTGTACGACCTGCTGGTTCAACTAAATTTAATATACGAATAAGCACGCAGCAGGTTTGTTTAACTCTGCTGGTAGACCCTTCACTTTGGTCAGGGGCATTCAAAGAAGGCTAGAACCACTAGCGTTTGTGTGGCTTTTGCCAGCCTCCATACTTTCTCACCTTACTTGCATCATAACCTCTCCTATGTGTAACCCGGGTATTCATTTCCCCGTCGATAGACCTGTGATTATTATAACACTTTTCTTCTTATTGTGAATAGGTCCCACATATTTGACAGTAATCGTTGGATTCCATTGCGTTCAGGCTTTGCGTCGCACTTTGCGTCGGTCGATGGCTACTGGTCATACCTTCCGCCGTCGCACTCAAACGGTCGGTATCGATCCATCGCGGCTGCAGCGAAGCTGGATGGGTCGGTATCGATCCATCGCGGCTGCAGCGCAGCTGGATGGGTCGTCTTAATTGTACTGACCATAGTCTAAAGCAGCCCTTTGTACCGGCGACTTTAGAGCCATGACGGGAATTTGGATTTTACAGATACCTACTGACGCGTCATACAATTTATACTCGTAGAACAATACGTTTTAGTTCCATTGTAGTCTATTTTACGGCATCATAAGACGTTAATGTGGCTGAATTTTTACCCGGAGACTTCGTTAATCTTGAATGGGATCCTACTTGATTCTCTGGTTCATGCCTACACTGAAGTCATAGTTCTGACTGGCAACAATAGTCCGAATTCCGCTAGGTGTGACGATAAGTTCGTTTAAAATGTTCCTTTTCCCACTTGTAAACCTAGAGCTCACTAAGCGCCTTCAGAAAATTACGAAGTTCACCGGTTATCGATTGGTAGATTCAGGAAATCGAGAAAAATCCCGTTGGAACGTTTGAAAATCCCCTAACGAGATGTCGTCAATTCTTTGATAGTATCGCATTTCACCCAATCCCCACCATTCCTCCCCTCCAGCCTCTTTATCTCTTTCCCTTCTCCTCCTTCCCCTTTTCATCCCTTTCCACTACCCTAGTCACATTAATTTCCCCAGCAGTAGTCAAAGTGTTTACAGGCGTTCAATCGTATTGCATACGCAGGTACTGGTTTAAAGTTGCCGTGAACTCGGTTCATCAATCTTTATTTTTGGGGCAAATGATTAATGAGGCTGTAAATAGGACAACAACATTGCACTGAGTTCACCGTCAACTTTTTCTATAATTTTTTGCAATAAA